CAAAACTCAGAGCTATACACTCAAAAGAGTGAATTTAAAGTTTAAAAAAAGCCAAGAGAAAAATGATTTCTCTATGCCAAAAAAAGTGGAAAATAAAAAATGACTAATAGTTGGTACAAAAAAATTGCCAGCTGGTGGACTTGGATTGATTGAATTAATTATGGCATTGAGAGTTTGACTGGACTAGATACTCTAATTGTCAGATGAAAGGAGTAGGACTTGAGTGTGTATTGTTTACAAGAAATTTTATTTTTTATTTTTACTTTTTTAATTTATTAATAGATAGAGTCCCAATGTGTAGTACAGATTGGCCTCGAAGTCTTGAACTATATAAGTGCTGCTGCTTATATGGCACTTTAAGGATTTGGGGAAGTTTAAAAAAAATTTTTTTAATTGCTAGAAGATACACCATGCATCATTGATTAGGTGAAAGCTGTGTCTATGTGATAATTAAAGCAGACTTTAAAATGAGAAGTATCATCAGTGAAAATGAAGGATGTTTCAGATTATACAGACGTCAAGTTACCAACAGTTTATAACAGTCCTGAGTACTTCACGTTCCTATTAACAACCTGAAAATACCTGAAGCAAATATGAGCAAAGCTACAAAAGAAGGAACACTTCCAAACTTTGAAGCCAACTTAATCCTGATAAGAAAGCCTGTCAAGGATGGGGGTTATGACTTGGCAATAGAGCTCTCACCTAGCACATGCAAGGCCTTGGGTTCAATCCTCAGCACCACATAAAAAATAAATAAATAAAATAAAGATATTGTGTCCAACTTCAACTAAATATAATTTAATAAATGTATTTTATATAATGTATATTAATAAATGTATTTAACAAATATATATATATATATATATACAAATCTTTATTTAAAACAAAGAAAGCCTGTCAGGATTATAAGAAAACCATTTGTATTGAAGTAAGCTTTCTTGAGATGTCATTTGGACAAAGACTAAAAGAAGGCAAGGGCAGTACACAGCCAAGGATGAAGAGGCCGCCAACAGAAATGGGGAAAACTGCAGGTTAGACATTTTGGGGGAAGGGTCCGTATATTTAGTTTCCAGTATATGTACTTGGATGTTTCTCCTAGAGTTGTTTTGAATCAGATTTTGGAATTCTGGAATGAAGTTTAGGCTACAGACAAATTTGGAAGTAGGCAGCATTAAAGTCATAGGAATGAATAAAATCACCAAGAAAATATGTGCAGGGCCCTCGTAGAATTGTTTCAACATCAGCTTTCTTATGTACCCATGGGGTAATTTATATTTTAGCCTTACCGAACAGGCTACAGTTTTGGAAATACACCATTACTATTTTGTTAATGTTTTACCTTCTCCTTAGATTGTACATCTTACCTTCTTTCCACAATAAGAACTCAAGAAAAGTTTAAATTCACTGAGTTCTTAGAAACTGTGTTTGTATATTAATTTTCTAATAGAGATTTGGGACTTTCAAAAAACTTTGGGAGCTCTTCTACTTTTTGGTTGTTATAGTCATGGGATATTCTCATTTTCTTGACATTTCTACATATCCCTTATGTTGAAATTATCCTATGCCTTTAATACTGCACATGTTCTTTGCTAAATTATAGGTTGATATTATATTACTGATATATTTAGAATATCCACATCTTAAAATAATTTTGAAGCTAAGTGATCAGGATTACAGAAGTATTCCATTTCAATTAGACATATCATGTTAATGAAAATAAACTATATTTGAAGCTAAATTTTGCTGACAGTTGTACCTTTAGTTACCACTTTGAAATTGTTTCTAGTATATTCTGACCATCTAGTAAGAATCTAATTAATTTTTCAGACAGCTACCAAACAGTACATGTTTGCATATAGAAAAATACTGAGGGCTGGGGATGTGGCTCAAGCGGTAGCGCGCTCACCTGGCATGCGTGCGGCCAGGGTTCGATCCTCAGCACCACATACCAACAAAGATGTTGTGTCCGCCGAAGACTAACTAAGTAACTAAGTAAATAAATAAATAAATAAATATTAAAAATACTGAGAGACTGTGTCAAACTATTTCTGGTCTTGTTCCTCAGAATAGTTTCACTTCCTAAGTCATTTCTATGATTATGCACCTAAAAAAAAAAAACTTGTAAAAAATTAAGCAAGGAAAGATTAAGCTGCTATACTGTAATGATTCAGTTTTGTTTCTTCAATATAGGCTTGATCTGCCAAGCCTAATGTAAACTTTTTTTTTTTTTTTAGTACTTTTATTCAATCAAGGACATGCCCTGTAATCACCTTTTCCTCATGTATGAAGTCAAGTACCTGGTTATTATCCAGAAAATTATAAATATACTTGAAGCCTGATAACTGCCAAGAGGTCATTCTTCAAATTTTAAAAACTATAGTCCTTTCTCTTATCATTTAGAAGCTTGAGTTCCTAAGTTCTTTAGTTACTCATTATTGTTTAAATTTAAACTTAATGTATTTTTCAGTCACTTTTAAAATACAGAGGCTAAGACTTGTATTTTAAGAAAATGCAGTGGAGTAGTTTAAGTGATATCTCTGAATATAATCAAGAGAAGCTATATTGTATGTAAAATAAATTACTGTACCCAATTTGTGGCACTATGGGAAGTTAAAGAGAAGATGGTATAGGTAAGATGTTATCTCCTTATTTAATGGAATCCTATATTTTACATGATATCAGTATCTGCAGAATATTTAAAATAAGAATGGTAGACAGCAAGGCAGTAAGCCCAGTGGATTTCAGGTAAGAAAGGGTTTGGGACAAGATGTAATTTACTTCAGTTTTTTTTTTTTTTTTTAATGTGGTGCTGAGGATTGAACCTAGGGCCTTGTATGTGCTGACAAGCGCTCTACCACTGAGCCATAACCCAAGCCCTAATTTACTTCAGTTTTAAAAAAGAAAAAAACAAGCTATGCTTCAATTAAGAGGAGAAGTTATTATGAATGAGGTGAAACCTACTTAAAGAAGACATGAATCTTACACAGAGAATTCAATGCAGTTGTCATATACTTTGGAGAATACCATATTTATTTGTATGACCAGAAAATGGAAAAGAAATTTTAAAAAAATCACTGTGACTGCTAAGAAAAGTTTTGTGCTTACATTTTAAGAAAACAATATATGTAAGTGTGATTGAGTTGCTGTTAGTAATACATAATAGTGGAATAAAAATTAAATAATTGAGGCACGAAGACTGAAGGTCACATGACAGGAAGGATACTTTACACTATCTTTTGAGTTCTGGATACAGAGTACTTAAGTAGAAGATTGAGTTTCTTTTTGATTTTTTTTTTTTTTTGCTTCCAACTCCTTAGCAAGAGAATGTTTTTCAAACAGGGCACTACAGAGTGATATACTTCTTAGAGAATTCTAACATAAGAAAATAGTGTAGCATATTGACTTCTATCTAAATAAATAAACTTTACACTGTTGTGATCTCTAATTATAACTGTCCTTAACAATAGGGTTTGGGACTGGGATTGTAGCTCAATGATAGAGCACTTGCCTAGCATGGGTTTCATCCTCTGTACCACATTAAAAAAAAAACGGAGTTTAGCCACATGTGGTGGCACGTGCCTATAATCTCAGCAATTTATCAAGGCCCTAAGCAACTTAGTGAGACCCTTTCTCCAAATAAAATACAAAAAAAGGGCTAGGGATGTGGCTCAGTGATTAAATGCTCCTGAGTTAAATCCCTGATACAAAAAGGAAAAAAAAAAAAACAAGATTTAATGCTTCTATTATCTAAGTTTTAATGCTTCAGAAAGTTTTTTTTAATTGCCTATAGTTTGTGCTATATATTTTAAAATATCCTTTTCAGATATTTTTCTATAGATATTAACAAAAGTTGTAGTATTAAATATATAGGTGGAATATACTTTTTTCTCCACAAAATTATATTACAACATATTTCTGTGCCAGAAATTTGGATATAGCATACTTAACTTTAATCAGTCTCATTATCAGTAAACACTTTTTTATCTTTGCTTTTTCCTTTTTACTATTCTAAGTATGGTAGAATGTAGACATTCTTGTTGAGTCGTTTGCTCAACACACCCTAAATGTGATACAAATGATTAATAAGCATACTTGTTTGCAATTCGTTGCTGTTAGATTCGAATGCCTTTATAATCTGAAACTAGCAGCTTTATAGGCAAAATAACTTGGTTACTATATGAAACTTTAGTTTTAATCCCTTTTTCCATGGAATCAGTTCTTTTGATTACATAGTTTTTGTAGAAATGCTACTATTGCATTTTTCCCCCCAAGAGTGAAAGAAGTAAGATTTATTCATGTGTGAAAAATAGAAACAGAACTCTGGCGGGGGTGGGCAAGAATGGACCCAATTCTTGATAATTTTCGAACTTGTGTTTTTCAAAGTGTAGATTCTGTTTCCAGAGATTCTAGTCCTGAAAAGTGGGGTGGGATGTCCAAGAATGTGAATTTTGAGTACCACCACTGTAACTTTGAAGTAGATGGCCCCAGGAGGACCACTATTCTCAATTAATAGGCACATAATTATTACACAAATTATTTTCTTGGGATAAATGTTAGAAGTAGGATTACTTATTTCAGTACATTGTGCTAGATAATTTTTCTCAAGAGATACTGTATATTTACCATCTGCAAGGTTTAAGAATACCATTTACTACTTCTCTTGCTAATATTAGGTGTCATCATTCTTTTTGATCAATAGTTGTGTCTAATTTTTTGAATAGTAAACTACAGGGAAATCTTTCCTGTTCATTGTAAGATATTATTCTGGCTTTCTTAATAGTTGCATACTATGTTTGTCCCTTGTATGAAAGTTACTAGCAAAATTGGTATTGAATATCTGGCCATATTTGCTTAAATGGTAATAGTTTTAGGAATATGAAGTCATTATGAAAATGTTGGATTTGTTGATCATGAAAAAAACCTTATTACCCATTTAATATGTTATCTTTATAAATGAGAAACTAATTATATTTTATTGAGTACATATTGGTTTGTTCCAGTAGCCGGATCGAGTTGGGAGATGTAACACCACACAATATTAAACAGTTGAAGAGATTGAACCAGGTCATTTTTCCAGTCAGCTACAATGACAAGTTCTACAAGGATGTTCTGGAGGTTGGCGAGCTAGCAAAACTTGGTAAGATATGGCTTTTTTCCTTATTTCTGTTTTAAAATTTGTAGTTTTAAACTTCACCCTTTACTATTAGAGCAAGAAGACTAATTTGTCTTTTTATTTTACAAATGAGGTTAATGGAGTGGTTCAGGTTCTAAAAAAATATAGAGAGTATTTGAATTTTAAATGGAATCACTAAATATTCTTTATTACTTAGTGTTTGCCTGTATGTTACCAATGATTTAGCTTTACAGCCTTCTGAGACAATGTAAGGTTTTTGAAGCCATTGATATTCATAGGATAGCTAATTAAAATTTAATGCTTATAATAACAACTTAGTCTCTTAGAAGAAATGATTAAATGTGTTGTTTTATCTATTGAACTTTATGTCTTTATATTTTCTATGGCAGCCTATTTCAATGATATTGCTGTAGGTGCAGTATGCTGCAGGGTGGATCATTCACAGAATCAGAAGAGACTTTACATCATGACACTAGGATGTCTTGCACCTTACAGAAGGCTAGGAATAGGTAATTCATTCTTTCTTCTTCCTTCCTCCCTCCTACTTTCCCTCCTTCCTTCAAAGCCTAAGTACCTTGTTAAATCTTTTTGATATAATAAGTCAGTTTATTTCTTTTATAAAATAAAGTGAAAATAACTAGTGTTTACTAACATAATTCAATTGAAAAACCCTCCATGGATTTGTCTAATTTTCCCCCCACTTAAAAAATATCTCTGTAAATATTTGTATAAAAAATTGCTCTGTATTTATCTCTTAGTATCTAATGTTACCTCTTAAATTTTATTAGGTCTCAATAAGTAGTTCAGTTGGCAAATAGGTATAGAATTTAAAGGTTGCTTTTTAAGGTTACTTATTTGTTGTTTGTATTATTAACAGGAACTAAAATGTTAAATCACGTCCTAAACATCTGTGAAAAAGATGGCACTTTTGACAACATCTATCTGTAAGTAAAATAATATTTAATGTTCTTATCTCAAAAGTTTAAATGTCAATAAAAATCATTACTAGAAATTTTAAAATCTGATCACTTACTGTATCTTAAAAAAATACCATGGAATAATTGTTGTACAGTACCTGTATAACATTGCTTCTAGGACCCGCCCCCCCATCCCCCTCATAGATACCAAAATATGAGTGATTCAAGCCTCTGTATAAAATGGCAGCGTATTTACATTAAGACTTACAGATATCTTCCATATTAGATTACTTATAATATTTAATATAATGTAAATGCTGTGTACATTTATTATTGTACTATATTGTTTAGGGAATGACAAGGAAAAATACAGTGTACCTGTTCATTCAGATGCAATTTTCTTTCCTAATATGTTAATCCTATGTAGAAGCAGAACCCAGGAATGTGATGGGGCCTGCTGTAGTTGTAACAATGCTTTGTTGTTGTTGTTGTTGTTTATTTATTTGGTACCAGGGGTTGAAACCAGGGGTGCTTAACCACTGAGCCACATCCCTAGCCCATTTTTTTTTATTTTTTATTTTGAGAAAGGATCTTACTGAGATGCTTATTAGGGCCTTGTCAAATTGCTAAAATTGGCTTTGAACTTGTGATCCTCCTGCCTCAGCCTCCCAAAATGCTAGGATTACAGGCTAGTAGTGCATCACCGCACTGGACTACTTGATACAATGTTTATTTGGTTTGTTTTAGTAATAAATAAAGAATCTGAGACACATTGCTACATTATATTGGGATGGGAACTACAAAGTCATATAAATTAAGTCAGGATTAAAACTCGTTCAGATTTAAAACCATTCATATTATTATTATTTTTCTCATGCCTTGCTGTTTGTACTGTTTCATTCAAGGTTATCAGTGATATACCCATTTATACTACAATTTAAAAAAATCAAAATCAGAGGTAATTGTCTGAGGTTATATTGACTCTCAAAAGCCTGCAGATTAAGAACAAGACTAAGATTATTACTGGATTTTGTAATTGTAATTCAGTTTGGTGATGGCAGGTATTAAATAATATGGTATTATTTTGAAGAGTAATTGAGAAAGCTCTAGTTTCTTATATTTTTTTGTTGTTGATGTTGTTTTTGCTGGGAGCAGTGGCACACATCTATAATCCTAGAAAATTTGGGAAGCCAAGGCAGGAGGATTGCAAGACCAACCTCAGCACTTAGCTAGGTCCTAATGCGCTCTCCCCCCCTCCCCAAATTCAACATGTTGTCTTTCATTTCAAAGGAAGACAATAGATTTGAGACCCTAGTTTTAAAGTTTTTTATCATTATTTTTCTGCTTTTGTCTGTATGGCCTCTGATTCCTGCCTATGGTTATCTAAACCCTACCCCAAGTTTAGGGTTTTTTTTGTATTGGAGATTGAAACCAGGAGCACTTTGCCACTGAGCTACATCTCCAGTTTTTTTTTTTTTTTTTTTT